GACTTACTGAACACCTGTATATACTTATAATCACCTCGTTGTATTTTTAAAGTATTTTCGTAATCTAAATTCTTTCTTGTTAATTCATTATTAGCGAGTTTATGCTGCGGAAAAAAAATTTTTTAATATGATTTAATACAAAAAAAAAAGGTTAATAAAACATGATTTTAGAACTAATTTAAAAACTGATAAAATCTATATATACATTTTTTTAATTATAGTAAATGTTAATAAAAAAAATTATTATTGTGTGAAAATAATAGAATATGTATTAACCAGTGGTTAAGTTATTTTTACTTAAAATATATTTACTTTTAGAACTGTTTTTTTCAATTTTTTAACTTTTTTTGATGCTTGATTAATTATTTCATTAAATTTATCAAATTTAGCATTTAGAAAACGCTTTATTGATGCTTTTTCACTTTTCAGCTAAAATAAATCAACTAATAATTAAAAAATTGGATTTAAATAACTGATACGGTCACATTTTGTGCACAAATCTTGGTTCAGTCAATAACATTTAACAGCTTGGTCAGCATTCATGCTTATTACAGATAGATATACAGGGACCCGCTGACAATGTTAATATACACATTCTTACAGAAAACTGTTTGTGAAAATGTAGTGCAACAAGCAGTTGAGACCTACCATATGAATGTTTAACATCTAATTAATATTATTTGAACTTATTAATATTATTTAATGTGATTTAAAAAATTATAATTCTCATGATGTTTATAGCACATTGTCATCTCCCTGATGGACATTCTCAACTTATCTTGAATCCATAGATTATTATTTTATATTATTTTATTATTATTTGAATCCATTATACTTTAATTAGATTTTTCTAATGTGATATGTACTAATTAAAATGTTGGGTTACTGTTAACAGGCATATGAGATATGTACCCAAATAGGGTCGTATCATAAGTAAAAATTAAAAATAAATATATAATTTTTGTATTCATTTAAAGAAATGAATTGTAAAAAAAAAAGATCATCCACAGAATTAAAACTTACAATATCGTCAACATCAGATTGACNAAAAAAAAAGATCATCCACAGAATTAAAACTTACAATATCGTCAACATCAGATTGACTTTCACTAGATTCATTTTCTTCACTAGATACTTCATTATTTCGTCTGAAAAATAAATACAAATAATTAAAACATCTAACTTTATAAAAATTAAACACAAAATGCAGAGTAATTTTAAAAGAATAGGGTAAATATGAATGAAATATTTTAAGCATAATTCTGAATTTTGCAAAAAACCATTTTACCATGAATGCAAGTTTATTTAAATATTTTTTGTGAGCAAAGCATAGTTTAAAAGTTGAAATTTAAAAAGGAATA